ACTTCAGCAAAGTGTCCAAGGCTGCTCAACTCCTCTACCTTTCTCTTTAAAGACTTCTCATCTCATCACAGCACCTACTGCCGTATTATGGCTCATCTGCTGTGCCTTCCTCTTGTCACCAAGGGTCCTCTTTGCTATGAAGTCACACCCTTACTTGGTTACTCCCAGACCCTGTCCTGACACACAGGGCCTGACTCCAGGCCTTCTCCCCTAATTTAATAAAAAACTGCCATTTCTCCCAGAGTTCTGAGGACGTCTGGGTCCATTTGTCCCCTGCTAACACTGCTGTGTTCTTCACCCTTCTTACTGTTAGCTGGAAAGCACCCTATGTACCCTGTCAACTCTACCCTCCTTTCAGATCTCAGGCTTATTCCCAGAAGCCTTTAATTGCTGCTTCCACAGTGTTCAGCCAGAGAGGTGCCCAGGCAGGTCCTAGAGGCATCTGTCAGCTTTTTGCACCAGTTTCTAGGACATCACCTTCTAGGTCCACTCCTCTGGGCCTGTCTTTTCCTCAACTTCTTAATTATGGGGTAACCCTGACTCAGTCTGGGAGCCTGAACCAGAACAGCCAAGACAGGTGGAGTCTGCCCTTGGCTGTGCAGTATACCCTGTTCGGGTACACGGTGGTGTGCCTTCCTCTTAAGACCCCTACATCATCCTTTCTAGTCTAGACTCAGCCTTTTGCCCCCAGGGTAGGGAAGATACCCCTTACAAAGAGTGCACCCAGTTTTTTTTAGTGCCATCTTACTTGCAGAGGTTCTGAGGCCCTCATGGCAAGACTTTTGAGGGTCTGTGCCTACCATTGACAGCTGGTAGCCCTTGGCCTGTCTGCCTACCAGAATGCTGTGCCCCATGCTGATTTGCATAAACCATAAGCCATATTATGTATATGATGGAGAATGTCCATTTAACTGCATCCTTTATGATCTCGTCCAAGTACAGCTCCTGCTGCAAAACCGACCCACACCAGGTAAGTGTCATTCATGCAGCTTGTGGGTTGCCCAGCCTGGGTGCACTGGGGAGCTGAACCCTCTCTACCACTGACTTCACCAGATGCTGGGGTCCAATGTGGAGTTGATACAGCAGGTAATGAACACAGCTTCCCTGAGTAGAGGAAAGGCTGCCACCAGCATTGGATGGCCTCTGCAGTATGGATGAAGAACCCAACAACTAGAGCTTTTGCTGGGACTGACATGGGGCCATTTGTCATAGCACAGCCTATGCTTTAGGGGCCTTAGAGTTGGGAATGTAGCTTAATAACTGTAAGTTTCTAAATGTCCTCATGGGAGCATGGTTGGCACAGATGCAGCAGCAGGAAGCCAAGAAATAGTCACATCTCTCAAACATTCCTGGGGAAACTGCTGTTTGTTGTAGAATTTTCCCCCTTTAGAACATGCCACCAGAAGTATCTGTCAGCTACCCAGCAAGCACCTGTGGCTTGTGTATCACTGAGTGGCTAAAGCTATGTGGTGATCTGTTCTAAAAATAAAGTATCTTGCACAAAATATCCCTGTATTCCTTGTCCTGATCTGTGCCTGCCTTGCTCATTGGCTGTTCTGGACCCCTCCACGCTCCAGCTTCCTTGATTTATTCTGTATGCATTTAGTATTTTTTTTGTCATAGTTTACTTTTTATTACTTAAATACCCACCCTTCCTCTGTCCTTCTTGAATTAAAATTAATCTATTCCTAATGGGTTCATTTAAAGCAAACATTTCTTTTCTCTCTTCTTTTTGTTAGGGTTAGGAGACAAGACCTCATAGCTCATGTAGCCCTGGCTGGCCTCAGACTCTGTGTAGCTGAGGTTGACCCTGAAATTCGGGTCTTCCTGCCTCTCCTTCTCAAGTGCCAGAATTACAGGCATATGCCACCACACTCAATTCATGCTGGGGCCTGAACCCAGTGTGTGAGTACCCTCTCCACCTTCCTGTATTCCGAGTAGCCTTTAGTTGCTGTTCCCACAGTGTTAAGCTAGAGATGGGCCCAGGTAGGCCCTCAAGACATCCCTTGGCTCTCCACACTGGCTTCTAGGACATCACCCTCCTGGGGGGCAAAGAATGTGACTCAGTGGTAGAGCACTTGCAAGGCCCTGGGTTTGATTCCCAGTGCTGAAAAACAACAAAACAATGAGATACCACTGTCAATCAAATATCGGGAAAAGAAAGAAAATACCCAGTGTTAGGAGCGATCTGGAGGAATTCCAACACTTGTATGTATCCTGTTGGTGAAATGTGAAGTGCTATAGCCACTGGAGAAATGACAATTCTCAGAACAGAATTACCATATGACACAGCAATTCCACAAAGAGTATAAACCCAGGAGAATGAAAACAAACTCAAACTGACATTTGGCTCCGAGCATTCCCAGCAGTTGTGCTCGTCAACAGAGAGTGGACAAGCAGAATGTTTTGTGGACACCCACGGCTGTGTTCCACCATGAGAAGGATTGATGTTCTGGCACCTGCTGTGTGGACTTCCCTTGACAAGCTGAATGAGATAAGCATTGAAGAGGTCAGACTCAGAGATGGAAAACAATTGGTGTGTTTCAGGGCAGGCAGTGGGGTGCCATGATTAATGAGGACAGAGTTGCTGTTTGGAATGATAAACATTTTGGAAGAAGCTTCTGGTGATCGACAGTTCATGAATGTACTGTATGCCATGGAATTGTAAACTAGCAAGTGGTGAAAACACCAAAGTTTACTGTATATATTGACCAAAGTAGGAACATACAAACCTAGATTTCTGAGTCTAAAACACTAAACTTAAAAAAAAATTCTAAACGTACAAAAAATGGAGACTAGAACACTGAAGATCCACATCCTTGGGCCCAGCCTTAGACAGGGTTAGTTTACCATCCTCTCACTTTAGGGGTTAGAGCACTTCCTGCCATTTTCTCTCATTTGTAGATGGTCTTCCCAATGTCTGCCTCTGCACTCATAGGTCTGTATACTTGTGTATTTGAATTAAACCCAGATACTGGTCCCTTTCCTCTCAGAGACACTTAATCTTGTTGGAGTTACCACATTCTACATTTCACAAATTCATAGAAATGCTTAACTATTTCTTCCTGTGTCTTCTAGACTAGTCTTCCTGGATGTGTCCCTTTAACCCCACCATCCCAAATGCTTGGGCCATCAGACTTGGTAACACTGAGGCCAACCCTGTTTAGGAATCTGGCCTTGCCTAGCCTTTAGACCTAAGGCCTTTTAGAAGTCAGGGAGAGCTGGGTGAGTGAGCAGAAACTAGCAGCTAGCAGAGCGCTGCTATTGATCTCACTATGTGCAGAGCAACCTCAGGGACTGCACCTGGCCCTTGGCTGACCAAGGATCCTTTCCAGTGTGTGTGAAGGAATAGCCACCAACTTGGACATTTAACAAATGAATTAAAATGGTATCCTTTATGTTTTTTTTTGTTTGTTTTTTTTTTTTAACCACAAAATAAAATGTCCATTTTGGCAATGTGCTCAGACACTGAGAATTTATTGGAAAATCTAAAAAAAAAAAAAAAAAGTACACATACAGTGTAACTGCTACTGAGGGGAAAACTGAGATCCCTCTTTTCTCACCTCCTCACAAGGTGTATACATGTTTGTGATACCTTAGAAGATTGTACTTTGAGATAGTTTACATGGCTCCTAATTTTAGCCTCTTGTGCTTTTGAAACTAGTGGCATTCACATCTTTGAACTCAATGCATTAATGATCACTTCTTGACTTTAGGAATTTGAGAGCGTGTTTTGCGGTAAGACTGGCAGAAGGCTAAAGCTGACCAGACCCGAATCCCTGGTGACCTGCCCTGCACAGGGCAGTCTGCAGAGTAGCCCCGCCATGGAGATCAAGTGACTGGACTGACCCAGGACCTGGGAGAGAACCGCCGATCCTGTGGCATCATGCACATGCCTACCATCCCGGAGCTCGGCTCTGAGTCCTTGAGAGGGATGTGGCTCCAGTTGGTGGGGCTCGAGTAAGGACTTTGAGAGCACATTTTGTGAAAGTATTTATCTAAACAAAATACTTACCCACTAATGTCCGGATGACCATTTGAGGATGAAGACATCTTGATAATTAGTAATTATTCAATTACCTGTCCGACACCATCATGTGTTCTTAACATGATAACTTTAAAAAAATTAACATCCTTGGTAATTTCTTGGGTCTCAAGACTAAAGAAAACATTGCCGTTTACTTATTTTGTTTACATTTTAAATATCCCCCTTTAGCAATTGGAAGAAGGTAAATTGTTCTTAACTAGAAGAGGTTTGGAAACTTTATTTCATTTGTTCTGTCACCCCCTATTTCCAGTCTCATGGTATTCTGTATTGGAAAATGCAGTGTGCCATTTTAAAACTTTTTGCTAAGAATTTTCCAGAGACTTCTTTTAAAGCTCCTTTTGCCCATAAACATTTTCTCGGTAGATTGCTTCAATGTCCACATTTCCATATTGTGAGTCATTGCTTTATGTGTAATAAACTGTATGTTTGGAACAGGTTTCCAGTGAGTAACTTTATTTGTTGTGACAATGACACAGTGCAGTTGCTTCAAAAAATACTGGTCACCAGAGATACTAAGTTTGCAATAGAAAGCAGATGAAACAGACACTTAAGTTCTTCACCTTCATCACAGTGTAGCCAGTGCTAATCTGAAAGGTTAGCAGATCTCTTTATTGGCAGTCTATCATAGGCTTTATATAAATGTTATGTAAACAAGTCTCTTGAGTGTTTTTACCTCATGGAATTGTACAAAACTCTTAGATACTCCATCCCTCCCAGATGCTGGGTTTTAAGTCTCCATCCCTAAGGCCTCTATTTGAGGTACGCTGTCACAGATGAATGGGCTGCCATAAATTCTGCAGATGGGACAGTGCCAGTGGTGCCAGTAGATGCTCCTGGGGTCCAGGCAGCAGGCCAGGACCTGTAGCCAACTGTAGCCAGCCATACTGTCCATTTCTGGTAACCACATGGCTGATCGCTGTTGCCTGTTGGAGTGCGTTGTCATTCATTTCCTACTTAAGTTCTTGTTTATGAGCTCCGAGGCCCTGACTTTTCCCCACCTCCTCCTAACACAGCTCCTTGGCAGGCTGAGGTGTCACAAATTCCTGGGGTTCCTTGAGCACCAACAGCTCCAGGAAGGCCGGGATCACCAGGAAAACCAGGCTCACCATGTGCACCATCTCGACCATCTTTGCTGATGCCAGGCACACCTTGAGGCCCTAGAAACCAGGAGAATGTAGTTAGGAGCCACGAGAACCCCAAAGCAGTAGCCATCACTATACTGGGAAGATTCTCTCTACTGGCTTACTTCTGAACAGTGCAAGAGGTCATAGATGAAGAGCTCAGGCACAGAGTCCAAAAGAGCAAAGGGCAAAGACAGGTGGCTGGGCAAGTACAGCTGAGGCCAGGCTAGCCACAGAGAGTGTCCTGAAGGCACGTTGCACTCTGGTCTCAGAAGGGCTTGTGGGGCACATGTCAAGAGCATATTTGGAGGGGCTGGAGAGATGGCTCCACAGTTAAAAGCACTGCTGCTCTTCTGAAGTTCCGAGTTCAATTCCTAGCACTTACAAGGCAGCTTAAAACGAAACTGTAGTCTCATCTAATTCTCACGGGATCTGATGGCCTTTTCTGATGGAAGAATGTGCATGCAGACAAACACCCATGTACATGAAATATATAAACAAATCTTTTTAAAAGCGTATTTGGTGTTGGCAGGCAGCCTGGGAGGAAGTTGAGAACTTTAGCTGGTCGTGGTGGGGCATAACCATTCAACATTCGGTGACCCAAATGTGAGTAAGCAGCTGGGCGTGGCAGCTCAGAGGTGATACTGCAGGCCCCACAGGGGAACAGCCCAGAGTTGCCAACAGGATAGTCGGGAGAACAAATAAGTAGTCAGGACAGGGGTGCCTTGAAGGGAAGGGAAGTTGTGCCTCAGAGAGGCTGTACCTCATGAAGGAGGGTAATGCACCTCACAGAGGAGGAAAGGTGCACGTTACAAAGGAGAGGGGCTGTGCCTCCCACAGAAGGCAAGGCACACAAACACATCTGCCCCTATAACTAGCTAGAGGAACCCAGAGAGGAGTGCTCCATGGGGTACACAGGTGCAGATAAAATTCCTCAGCAGGCCTGCAGATGGCATAAATTCATCCTCCTACCTCAGCCTCTTCAGTGCTGAGATCACAAGTATGTGCCACCACCCCTAGCCCACAGCATACAGTTTTTTACATTAAGACAATGAAGCATGGCAGTCAAGATGATTTGCCCATAAGCCTGGTAACTTGAATTTAATGTCCATAACCCATGTAAAAGAAGAGAATTGACTCCACAAAGTTGCCCTCTGATCTTCATATGTATGCTGTGGTACATGGACATAGGCATACATGTGTGCACATAGGCACACACACACACAAAGTAAAAATAAAATCCCTCAATGTATATGTGGCCAATTAAGAGAAAGATAATTTTCTGGAATAGACATGATGTTTAGTAAGATAGAAGTTAACCAAACCTACTTAACTGAAGTTAGATGGAGAAAAAATATTTTTATTTTTCATACTAAAGAGATCATAAAAGCAGTTCCTAACCAGATCCTTAATACTTTGCCAAGAGAAAAACGTGTCCAACCCCTTCCCAGAACTGTGTGATGACAGTGGCCTACCTTGGTGCCCTTGGTCGCCAGCAGGCCCATCTAGCCCTGCACCTGTTGCGCCCTTGTCTCCTCTGTCACCTTGGCTCCCTGCAGCATGGAAAGCAACAGCCGTGTTAGAGTAGCTGCCTGTCCACAGTGATGGCATTTTCCATCTTGTTTTCACAGAGCTTGCTGCTTTTAAGCATTTCCTGAAGTGAGGCTGTTCACCAAAGTGCAGCTTAGTCGAAGTATGACCAGAGTAGCATGCCCACATCCCCACCACAGGTGACACCTCCAAAATCACTGGTGGGATTTTAGTTTGCTTTGAAATAGTTATGACTCTGAGACAATTGTGTTGTTTGGTTTTTATGTTTTCAGCATGAGTTTTGACCCATGGCTTATCAAAGGATGCTTTATTTTTATTGAGACAAGGTCTCAGTCTGTGGTCCAGGCCTGGAGCTCACTACGCAGCCCAGGTTGATTTCCAACTCACCGCGATCCTCCTGCCTCAGCCTTTCAGATTGCATCTGGCATTCGAGTGTTTTAAAATATCCCCTAAATGTTCTTCAACTCTTTTATGTCTGTTTTGGTCTAGTCATAGTCACAGAGCTGGGGCTACAGCCCCATGGTAGAGCACATGCCTAGTATACATGAGGCCATACATCAAATTCCCAGCACCTCAAGAACAGCCAAAAATAAAAAGCAAACAACCTCCAAGAACAGAAATACAGCAGCACTGGTTTCTGGCTACTGGACACATGTAGGTGTGATGGATTATGATGCAAGTCTAAGGGCACTGCTACTTGTTGGACTATTATACACTAGTGCTGTGAGGAGAGGTGCAGTTGCCAGTGGCCTGGAGAGGCCTGGAGAGGCCTCCCTAGTATGTCGGCTCTAACGCCTTCGGATGCCCACTGGCTCATGCGGCGGACCTCAACAGAGGTCTCAAAACTGCTTCCAGCGAGGTCTCAGAGAATGGGTACAACAATGACCAGGGTTTGTGCTTGGTGTTTGAGAAGGCCTAATCAGATAAATATATTCTCCACAGGGACTCATGGCAACCTGATGCACACTGAAAATTAAAGGTGCCCAGCGCCTCACACAGACTGGACAGCGTGGCATGCCCACCTTCAAAGAGAAAATAGGTTTGTGTGACCATCCTAGCAGGCTTCCTGGGACCCCTGTGTCTCTGTCATGGCCTATACAGGCACATAATGCCCTAAATTTTATTTTTAGTCTAGAAGGAATTCAGATACCGGATTGTAGGAAATCCTACATGTTTTTAAAAAGGACAGCCACTCACATGACACCAGGTGACATAGAATGCCTGAGAAGGCCACACTCAGGAGAAATGACAGAGAAAACAGTCATTTGGAAGTTGATTTGGGACAGACACTGCACTGAGACAAGATGAATTCTCCACATTTGCTCTCTAGTGTTGAAATTCCTCAGTCTCCAAGGATTTTTTTTTAAGAACAGGTGAAAGTGATGTGCGAATTGCGCCAAATCCATCCACATCAAAAGTTTTTAAACATAAAACATAACCTGGAAGATGATGAGGGAGTCAGAACCGCTTCCCACACAGATTCTTTTCCTAAGCTGCTCGCAGGAAGCATGGAGCTATTGGCCAATCAATCAACCAGGTGTAATGAGGGGTTCAAACTTGTCATCAGGGCAATGTGAGGCTTGAGAAGTCTGCATTATTAAATACATGAATTCCAAAGGTTTTGGAGAAAGGCTGGTGCCCATCAGTTCACACAGCATGTCATCACAATCCCCAGTTTGTGTCTGGTACCCCAGCTTTCTTCCAGCAACATGGCTATGACATTGGTAGTAGTCTATCCTGTCTCTTCTTTCCAAGGACTCCCTGATTCCCATCATCTTAAATGCAGCTTGAATTAGTTGTTTTTGCCTTCTGCAATGGATATTGTCATGTACCACCAGCCTTCATGAAAGTCTCAGCTCCTGAGTGAAAGTGGGTTCCTATTATTTTATTGCTCACAGCCTCAACAAATTGTGTTCTGGTGGTATTGGAGAAAGATATCACATTTAAGATTCCATGCTTCCCACAGATTGGTAAGACATTACCTGTGCTGACCCCCAAAACACAAAGGCCCGGCCCTCTCCCTGACTGAGTCCTGGTGTATATGTGGTATAACCAGATGGTTGACTGCATCTTTATGGCATTTGTAGGTGAGTCATGTAGACAGTAGGGCTGGAGGACCCTAGGCCAACCTAAACAGGTTGCTCTCAGGTGTTATGACCACGAGGCCAACCTCTCATTCAGGTGACATGGAACCTGACTGTCCCTTGGTTCTCTCTTCCCTGGACCTTAGGAGGAAGACATCTCAGCATGAGAGTGCTGTAGAAAACTAGGGTTTCCTCATGTGACTGAGACAGTGCCCTCACAGCAGCATGATCATGTCTTGCTTGGGTCAGTTACTTACCTCTAGGTCCAGGATCTCCTAGCTCCCCAGTGGGACCACGATATCCTGGGGGACCTCGAGCGCCAGGGTGGCCAATGGAGCCTGGAGGGCCTGGGGGACCTGGGGGTCCAGCTGGACCAGGCCTGCCGATGGAGCCTGGTGCTAAGGGCTTCCTCAGGTGTGCAGCCAACTGTGCAATTTGCTCTTTTGGAAAACAGGGTGCCAAGCATGTACTTCAGAGAGGATTAGCAAAACGTCTTCATGCAAAGTATAACATAGCCAACTCTCTTTCAGAAGGAAATTTTCACTACTGACCAAAATGGCTATTAACTGCTCTAGAGGCGAGACAGGAGTCTCCTTCCCTTGGAACACCTCACATGCTGGAAGGAGAATTTCAAGCCACCGGGAAAAGTGTCCCTCCCAGCCGAAGGGCACAGTGGTTTCTTCCTTGTAATTGTTTTTTATTTTGTTTTGTTTTGTTTGTTTGTTTTCTGAGACAGGGTTTCTCTGTGTAGTCCTGGAACTCACTGAGACCAGACTGGCTTCCAACTCAAAGATCCACATGCCTCTGCCTCTCAAGTGCTGAGATTAAAGGCGTGTGCTACCACCACCCAGCTTCTTCCTTGGAACTGTTGCCCTCAATAGTTAGTTGGGGCTTCTCTGAGTATCCTGCATTATGTTAAGCCCTGGGAAGAGGGTAGCTCTCACTGAGGTCAGAGGTCAGGCAGGATGGGAAGGACAGCGGCCAAGGGCAGAAGCAGTGTGAGGATGGGGGTAGTCACAGGAGACTCACCACTGATCATCCCTCCACACAGCTCCCTGATGCGCTGTTCACTGGCTTCCTTGCCCTGAAATTCACCCAGGTTCATCAGCAGGCAGACCCACCACCTGATTCCCAATACAACTGCTAGTTCACAACACCCATCATCTAAACCCACAACAAAAGAAGGAAAAGCTACGAACCGGAACGCCAGGCTTCCCTGTGATGCCTGGGACACCCTGCACCCCCTGGAGGCCCAGTGGGCCTGGAGGACCAGGTACACCCTGGACTCCATTGGTGCCATTGGGGCCCTGGATGCCTTTGGGGCCCAGTTCCCCTCGGCTGCCAGACTGCAGAAAGAAAAGAGGAAGCAAGTCAGAGTAAGACCTCCTTTGGAAGGCCCGGACCTCAGGAGTGACTGGCCACCTAGGCAGAACCTTACAAGGTAACTATCCACCCAGAGGTGGATGGGCGCCTGTGGGCTCCTTGGATTTGTTACAAAAGCATCTGCCAGGTACTCACCTCTCCTTTTTGTCCAACGGGGCCATTAGGACCCTGTGAAGAGGAAGTTATGCTTTCACTGTGGAGCATGTGGAAGTGGCCCCACAAACTGACCTAGCACCCAAACCCCTCACATATGAACACATTGGCAAGGCTTTTCCTTCCCTTTTACCTACTAGTGCAATTTTAACACCTTTCCCTTGAAATTGATCTTAGTGGCTGCATGGTATTTGCTCTTACACCTGTCTGGACTGCCTCCTCCAAGTCTTTTCACACATGCTGAGCTGAACATCTCTAGCCTGGAAAGCTGGGCCTTTCCCTAGCTGGGGCCTCAGAAATGATTAGCCCCAAGTGTGTATGTGGATTGACTGGGCCCAGATATGGGCTCTGCTCACAACTGTGAGCTAACTATCCATGGATAAAGCAGGAAAGGACAGATGGTAAGGTTCCCAACTAGCTCACCACTATGGTAACTGTCACCACACAGAGGTTTCTAGCTGGCAGGGGCTCTGTCCCACACAGCCGCTGCCTACCACTCCATCAGTTTAAGAGTGAGCAGGTGGGGCTGCTTCGAAGGCTCTGTCAAGAATTTGCCAAAATAAAAAACAATCAACTGGGATCATTTGCGTTAAAGAAATAAGTGGTTCACAGTGGCCAACGGTTGCTACTTGAGAGCAGGATCCCTCGAACTAGCCTTGCTCTGTGTCGCGTGGACAAAAAGAATCGAAATCCCTGACCACAGTGAAGCCAAAAAGGGCCTTTCCATTTGAGCCCCAAAGCAGTCCTGGTGCCTTCAGGAGAGCTGTGAGTGACTGGTTATGTCAGGCGAGTTCTACTTTATAACAGGCTCAAGTTCTAGCTCTGTGAAAGTGGCATTTTCTCTCCTTAGACCTCAGCAGTGGCCAGTTCAAGCAAGGGTGATTTCCTTGGGCAGAATGTGAGGAGGCACTGGGGGAGTTCTACACCTCAGCAGAGAATCACTCTGCTGGTGTCTTCTGAACCCCACTCTCCCCTACCACACAATGGGACGGCAAGGCCTGGGCAATTCATACCTTACCTGCCATCCTCAGATACCTCGTCAACGGAACAGTTCCCACCCCAACCGACCAGGTGGCTCTTAGTTGGCAGTAAGGGGTTCAGCCATACTCACCAGCTCTCCTTTGTCCCCTGGAAGACCATCAGAACCTGCAATGCCCTGAGGAGGACACACTAAGGTTACCGTTGGCTCCTCCACATCTGAAGCCACTTGTCCATTACTGATACTAAGATTGAGGCCAGAGTCCAGGCCAGGATCCTGTACTAGACGGCATTCCCAAAGCAACACAAGAACCCAAGAGCCACAGCCCAAGTGGACTCCAAAACTGAAGTCACTTATTTTCACAGTGAGGCCTTCAGCACCTTGATGGTATTACATGGAGAAGCCCTGGATCATCCAAGAGGAGAGGAAGCAGTCATTTTAAGGATGGGCCGCAGCAGCCACCACAGCCCATCCTCGCTGAATTGTTTCAGGGAGGGAAGGGCTTCAGAGAGAAGGAAGCCACACAGCTCTAACTTGCTTTTGCAACACATAAGTCTTACAGCCCAGACTTTACTCCTTTTACAAAGCCAGTTTCCCTAATCAGTGGTAGCTTCCCCCCTCCCCATCCAGGGCCATATAGTGATCATCTGAATAATTGCTTGTACCCAGTAAAGCAGCTTACTCTGTCCCTTTTGGTGCCCAGGGCTATGCTAAGCAGGAGTGGAGGAAAAGTGGAGCAAGATGGAGAGAAGTAAGGGTTGAAGAAGCCCCTCAAGAGTTTTGAAAGTAAACCCACAGTCATATGGTGCAGAGCTGACCTGACCATACATGGGACTTCTTCTCACCTGGTCTCCCTTAGGGCCTGTGGCGCCTCCTGGACCCTAGGCAGAGAGAAGATTCTGGATTAGAGAAATCCCAGGGATCCCCATGGGGTATCACTGCCCTGCAGAGCAGAGGCAGGAATCCCACCTTTAATAGGGTGTAAAAAATCCTTTTATGCCAAGAGACTTAGAACTAGCACCCCAACCCCAGCTGCCAAACCGAGTCCATAGATAAAAGCAGCATGTAGCCATCCATGCTCCATAGGCTCTGAACAGCAGCTGCCCATCACTCTCAGTGGACATGAATTCTTTAAATCAGCTACTAATGTCTGTGACTCTCTCTCTCTCTCTCTCTCTCTCTCACACACACACACGCATGTGAGAGACAGAGAGAAAGAGAACTATTTGCTTAAATGTTGGAGTATGTGCTTAAATGGTGGAGCAATGGTTCAGCTGTTAAGAGCACCAGCTGCTCTTGTAGAGAACCTGGGTTTAGTTCCCAGCATTGCATCAGGTAGTTCACATCCATCTGTAACTGTAGTTCAAGTTATAACCCTCCTCTGGCATCCTTGGGTTCTTGTACACACATGGAACACTTACATACATGTGGGCAAATGCTCACACACATAAAATAAAAATAAATAAATAAATAACCCCCCCCCCAAAAAAAAAAAACAAAAAAAAAAAAAACAAGGTTTCTCTGTGTAGAGCAGGCTGGCCTCGAACTCACAGAGATCTGCCTGCCTCTGCCTCCTGAGTACTGGGATTAAATAGATATGTCACCACTGCATGGGTATCCAAAAAAGAGAAAGAAAGAAAAAAAAGTTCCCTCCCACTGGGACTGGGGCACGCACCAACACTGCTACTACCAAGCTTTTCCCTCCACTAGCTTAGAGCCCTCAGAGTTGTTGGCAAGCTCCCTCACTCCCGGAATTTCCTGCCTAGAGGCTAATAAAACACCACTGTCCCTGCTGTGTGATGGCAGTTTCTGTGACTCCCTGTGTCTGTAGTGGTGCTGGAGAGCCTCCATTAGTTGCATGTACTCATTTGAAGAGTGCTTTGTCCCTGCCAAGCGGGGACCAAGAAAGCAATCACATAATCCCTAAAGACCTGGAGTATGGCCTAGGCCCCAGACCAGACCCCCAGACAACCCCTCTCAGGGGACCCCAGGCCTTACCTACTAACCAGTAAGCCACAACTCTCCTGGGCCCTGGTACAATATCACTGGCTGCTATAGAACCAGCGGCAAAGTCTTGGAAAGTTACATGTTTGAAACACTGGGGTCATTCTGGTCTCAGCTCACACCCAACAGGCAAGCCCAGGACCTAGAGCCTCAAGTTACTGCTTCTCCCCAATTATTGGTTCTTCTAGGACTGCATGTGGGGCATGTGATAGAGCAGTGAAGATTCCAGACCCCCTCTTGCCCAGGAAGAACACCAGAAGAACGAGCAATAAAAGGATGAAGGGTACCTGGCCACAGAGTTAATGCCACTGTCCCTGGGAAGCAGCAGACTGCTGCTGGCTTGTGTCTACGTAGACTGGTTAGAGCAGGAAGGCACAAGAGAAGGACACTTACCCGGTCACCCACATCACCCCGTAGGCCTTGCGGGCCTGGAAGGCCAGGGTCTCCTATGTTGCCCTTCTGGCCCTGTGAATTGGATAAGATCCCAGCTAGTCAGCACCCACAGGGAACCAGCCAGGATTCCTCCTTTTCCCAGCCAACCAGGGTTCGCTGCCCTGGCTTAAACCATTACTCCAACTTTTACCCACCTGGAAACCACGGATACCAGGGGCACCAGGAGGACCTTGTGGGCCAAGGGCCCCCTAAAAGATCAAGATATGAGTGGATATTGTGAGATCCATGGAGCCCCTAAGAGTCTTTGTGGCCCAGGAAGCCCAGCTGTGCCTCCGTGGGGAGCTGGGTGGACAGCGAACGAGGCTTGAGCCATCTCTCTAAGTTACTAGGTTTGGAGGCATAAGAACAGGCAGCTCCTGGGGCAATTAAGTATGGGGAGCAGATCTCAGGGCTTACATACAGTCTACACTTAAACTGTCAGGCTGACTCAGTCAGTGTCAGGCACTGACGCCCAGGGCCTTCCATAGGGCCCTAGAGAAGACTGAGTCCACTGGTTATAGTACTTGGGAATTTCTACTGTTATAGGCTTATGAATTTCCATCCATATTTGCCAGGTATAAGATGCACGGTGGAATAAATAATCTGAGGCTAGGGTAACCCAGCACAACACCATTATTCCAGAGGGTGAAGGATAAAGAAGGGAAGATTCACCCATCTCCTACCACTCTCAGGCTTCAAGGAATTGGCCCGTCTATATTCCCCAAATGCTACCACTTCTTGCCCATAAACCATGTCTCCGTTCCCGTGCCTGGGAGGGAGGGGCTATGTCCTCCCACTCACCACTGAGCCCCTGTGACCAGCCTCACCACGCTCCCCTGGAACACCAACATCTCCCTGTAAGGAAAGAAAAGGTGAGGGCAGGATTCCCTTTGACATATGTGAGAAGGGGCAAGGTCCCTGTGTACACATGGCAGGGGGGGGGGGAGAGCAGAGTCCCTTGTACATACAGAAAAAGGGTGGAGTCCACATGTCTGCCCAGAGGCCCTGTGTACACAAAGTGGGGAGGGGCCGGCCCCCAGCATGCACAGACAAGGCAGTCTCCATATACAAAGGGAAAGGAAGGGCAGGGCCCCTGCACACACATGGGGTGGAGCAAGTTGCCTCTACACACATGTAGAGAGGGCAGAGCTTCCCTGTGCACACACTGGAGGAGTAGAGTCCTTGTGTGCACATAGGGGGAGGGAGAGAGGGAGGAGCAGGATCCTCCGATATACACATAGGGAACAGTTATGGATACTCACAGGAATACCTGGCTCTCCAGAGGGGCCAGCCTCACCCAGCTCCCCAGTTCTACCCTATGGAAGTGAGGAGACAGTGAATGCTATGTCCCCTCTGTCCCCCACCAGAGCACTGCATGCTGTGCCTGCTCTCTCTGGGGGAAAGCAGCCACTTACCAGTTCTCCCTTCTCGCCTTTGGACCCTGCCCGTCCAGGGAGCCCCTGCCAGGACAAGGAACAAAATCAGGTTCAGAGTTGAAGACAAGGTGACAGTCTGGGTCAAGGCTGGAGTTTGGGTTGGGGATAGTGCCAGGGCTAGGGTCAGGTCTGGGAGCCAGCATCAGAGCCAAGACTTCTGAGCCCACAGAGGGCATGCATGCAGAGAATGCATAGTGTCACATGGCAAATGTGCATAGGCCAGACAGAGTAAAGATGACCCCAGGGATAAAGCCTGATGCAGAACCCCTGCCAACCCTCCCAGGCAGGGCCCCTGGGGGCCACAAGAACCAGGACAAATACAGGCACAGGCTCATCTGCACTTGTTCCATGGTGTGTGTGTGTGTGTGTGTGTGTGTGTGTGTGTGTGTGTGTGTGTGTGGTGGTGGTGGTGGTGGTGGTGGTGGTGGTGGTGGTGGTGGTTACAGATATGATAAAGCAGGCCCCTGTCTTCTAGCACCAGGGCTGTGCCAGGTCCTATCAGATCCTAGGCCAACTGCAGGAGCTAACCCCAGAGCAACTAACCTACCTAGCTTAGGCACTCACCGGCAGCCCATTGGGGCCTTTCTCTCCTGGGGCACCATTGCGACCAGCCTCTCCCTGCAAGGACAGTGATTGGGTATGAGGAAAAATAATGCCATGCCAAAGCCTTGGGAAGCTGAACTCCTCCTCCACTTCCTCCCAGCAAGCATCCTGTCAGGCACCAACCTTCTCGCCATCAAGTCCTGGCACACCATCCTGGCCATCCTTGCCTGGCATGCCCTAAGGACAAAAGACAGTGTTAGGGCCTTCAGACAGAGAACCACCCCTTCTTACCCCATTAATCAAAGGTGTCTCTTGAGTCCCCAACAGTGGCTGTCTTTCTGGCTGGGTGACTATATGTTACCCTCAGAGACCCTTCAAGGGAGTAGGCAGACAGATGTCCAGGTCCCTCAGCATAACCCCCCAACTCTGTGTTTGCTGGTTCTATCACCCTTTCTTTTCAGGTGTCAGACAAGCCTGATCCTAGATTTCTGTAGGGTTACAGCAGCTGCAGAATTTCAGGCTGGAGCAAAAGGAAGATGTGAGCTGCTGTGGGAGGTGTTTCAGGCTGCCTGGGAGCTGTCAGGTGCTGCTGAAGATGTTGGAATCTGCTGGGAAGTCTGTGAATTCCTGGGGCTGCTAGAGCAGTTGGTGGGGAACACTGGAGTGGCTGGTGGGTGCTGGGGCTGCTAGGTGCTGCTATGGGTTTCTGGGAATGCTGAGGGTGCTGGGCCCTGTGAATGGAAAGGACTGTGGAAAGAGAACCTAAGGAGAATGGTTACATTCATGGCAATAGCTCAGCCAAGAGGAGAAGCCTTGCTGTGGCAGTTTGTGTGGCCACGATACCATGCTTGACACCGTCTGAAATACTCACTGGTTCTCCACCTGGTCCGGGCACTCCAGGGATTCCTTTGGGACCAGGCCTGCCCTAAAGAAAACATGGGACAGAAGCAGCTGCAGCTGAGACCCCAAGGAAGATCCCATCCTGCCCCATCATGTCCCCACAGGCCAAGCCACACATGCCCAGCTTTTGGGACATGAGGTATACTGTGCTTCTACTGGAGACAGCGTCTGGCTCACCCCAACCAGTGGAGATAGGTTCCATTACCAGAGCCTCTTGCTGCATAGGGCCAGCTGAGGAGCTGCAGCTGAGGAACTGCAGCTGAGGAGCTGTGGACACCTCAGCACTACTCAAACACTAGTCTTAGGTGGGCAAGAAGAGGTTTGAAGGCTGCCAGAGGCAAATGTTTGGTGATAGCCACTTCTGATCAGAAGATACCTGGTGCCTCACTGCAGAGCTTCCATCTGTGAAGTGGAGGGAGGAAACTACCTGCCTAGCATCCAAGGCTGGGCTGGAGCCAGGATCTGAGCTCAGGGCCCCATGCTCCAGCCTCTGCTCGGAGCTTCTCACTGCTGGCTGCTCTGGAGGGACTCAAAGTCTCCTATATGGGCTTTGGGTGCTTGAAGGGGGCAGGGAGAGGGCTGGGATCCTTCAGGTCCAGGCCCCATTTCTAGCAGCTTATATTCCTTCCAGGATAGGGCATAGCATGGAGAGTCTTCATGCCCCTGACAGGGACCCTCTAAATATCATCCACCCCCACCTACAGGAATTAGATCAGGTTCTTCACAGAAAAGTCCAGGGAGCAAAGCTCCCTCTCACTTACCAGGTCACCCTTAGGTCCATGGAACCCTTCTGGACCCCTTTCACCTCTGTCACCCTAAAAGATAACAAGGAGGTAGGGACAGTGTTAGCAACACAGTGAAGCTGTGGCTCTTGACTGAAGCCCCTCCGGGTTTTGCCCTGGTTTAGCCTTCTAGACCAGTCAGAAGCAACCTCCTGCTGTAGAAGGTCACATGGGACAGTGACACGCTAAGCCCATCCCAACTTGTATCCAGGCAACAAAGGAGGCAGATCTCTCGTGAAGGCCAAATGGCCCATGCTCCAGCTGTGCTTTCACTGAGGCATACCACATGCCCTATGCCATGTGTCCTGAACCTCACAGATATATTACCCCTTGGTATGTTCTGAGTCCCCCATGTATCCATGGACAGCTCATCCTGGGAGAGAGCTAGGGACCAGCCCAGTGGAACAAATGATGGCAAATATGTGAATCAGCAGGAGGACGGTGGGGGAAAGGAGTCAGAGGGTCTGGGCTGGTACGAGGTCCACCCTCCAGCATAGATAGATACATACCACTTTCCCAGGTGGTCCTGGGATCCCAGGTGGCCCCCGAAACCCAATGGGACCCTGTGAAGGAGAGAAGGCACCTGAAGTCCTCCCACAGGGTAGATACCCAGAGGGAGGCTCAAGCCCAGCCTCAAATTGTTAGGCAGGAAGTGTCTTGTGATGCTGGCTTCTGAGGCTCTTTTATCTTGAGCCCCAGTAGAGTCGGCATATGACCATCCCAGGCATTCAACTACCAGGGCTGACCTCAGGTGACCCACAGCCCCCCCCCCCATGGAACCAGCAGCACTTACCCGGTCCCCAGGGGGCCCAAGAGGCCCTGGAAGTCCTCGTAATCCTCGTGGGCCCTGAAGGAACAGAACCAGAGCTACAGGGCCCAGACAGTACATGTATCTAAAACACTACCATAGTCCTTGCCTCCGAGTTCCCCAAGGCTTGGCATCTTCGTTAAAAGTGCTTGACTTAAGCTAAGGCCCCTGGAGAGAGCAACACCAGCCTTGGTGTCAGCCTGGATGACTGGTTAACTATCCCTGGAGTCTAAACCAACTCCCCTTGGGGTGTCCATCAAAGGGGCTTCTACCTCACCACCCTGGTCCTTCCCCATTCTCACCTGTAGCCCTACGGTGCCTGGAATGCCAGGAGGCCCAGGGGGCCCAGGATTACCCTACAACAGAGGAAGCAGTAGTCAGCCAGTTCATCCTACTTCTAGCATCTTCCACTGTCCACTGGTCCCCTCCCATGAGCCTAAACCATGATAAGCACCACTCCTACTTCACAGCTGAGCCACGGAGGTCGAATCGGATGGGGGATATTTGCCGATAGCTGTGAAAAAGGCCTCACCACTGCCTGGGCAGGATCATGGGGTCTCTGTTCAAGCAAAGCCCCCAGGCCTTCTTAAGCACCCCCTCCTGGTCAAGAGGGGAAGTACCCACTGTACATGGAGCAATTGGTACTCGGTTACTCCTACCATCAGAAGGGTATCCCAGCCCTCTTCCCTCATGCAGGAAGCATAGGCAGGGGCCCTATAGGACAGTGGCCACTGTATGAGTAGCAGAGGCTTCTATGAACACTTTAGGCCCAGAGCCAAGGGTCCTCTGGGATCCTCAGCATACCAGGAGCTTCCACATGAGGTCAGACAGGGGAGGGAAGAATCTGTTTACATGAAAGGACTCTTCCAGGTCACCAAGCTCTGACTAGCCAGGCTGCATTGAGGACATACCAGCAGCAGGTACCCAGAGGAAGCCCATGAAGATCCAGTTCCCTTCCTTCTATGGAGTCCCAGGACCACCCAGCCAGCATTCCCACTATGGCTGACATTTCTAGGTCAGTAAACCACACATGGACAGCATCTTACCTTCTCACCATCTTTGCCAACTTCTCCTTGATCCCCTTTGTAGCCAGTAGGCCCCTGAAAACAAACATGGAAATCACAGTCCCCATACTCATGGATGTCTCCCATCCCACCTGCCTACAAAGAATCAAGGTCTGTACAGGCTGTCAGTGAGAGCGGCACCATGACATTCAGAGTCCAAGGCCTGGAACCAGATAGGGAAACTGCAGCCCAAGAGCATTTGTGACTATGCTTCCCAAGGGCTCCCGGGAGGAAGGTCTCAGATCAGTCTCTACCCCCTCTGACCTCTGGCCACAGCAGTTTCCAATGTGCCATTTCAGTAGAGAAGACAGGATGACTTCATGGGCAGTTCTGCTCCCCACTAACAATACTGAGTCTAGTCAGACTTTCTAAAACCCTAGACTCCACAGCATGTGGGGACCCAATGGCCTCTGTCGGTGGAGAAGTGTACCCAGCCTTTTGCCTCCAACTGCCCACTCACCTTGAACCCAGGCATTCCCGGGGGCCCTGGAGGGCCTGGAGGACAGACGGCAGGACACTGTTGAAAAGGAGAAGGATCAGACCCTTCCAAGGCAAATGAGGCAGGACCCCAAGGGAGACCATCAGCAAGCGGGTGGGAGAACTGAAAAGGACCATCTTGCCAGTGATAGAGACTGTGGACAAGCCTAGACAGGGCCCCATTCAGTGCTGGGCATGAGGTGTGGCGACTCTGGGGAGCTGGACTGCAGCCAGTCACCGTCCCTCACAGACTTCTCTACAGACAGGCAGCCTCAAAGCAGCTATTTACATACTGGCTGCAGGCACCACAAAGGGGCCTTCATCCTGTGACCAAGCACCTGGTGGCTGTTAGGAGGAATGCCACATGAGCTCAACCAATGGCACTAATACTCTGGCTTGATGGCATATCCCATGCCAGACACCAGGAAGCTGGTGGAGATTTCTATCACACTTCACACTGAACTGGCCAGGTCGAGCCTGGGTGCCTAGTGAAACTGTTGACTTCTTACCCACTGGCCCCATCCTCATTTAGAAGAACCCTACTTTCCCCTTCTCGGGGGAATGGCGGGGATGCTGAGTAAGGGCAGAGGGACCTGGAAACCTCCGGCAACAGACTGGGCCTGTTAGTCACCCCGGGCAGCGACTGCTTACCACCTATGACTGAAAGCGGATGCCGCCTCGTGGAACTATACGGGTTAGGTGTCACCTCCCTGTGACTAGTAGCTTTGTTAGGGACAACACAGATGTAGATGGTGAGCACAGAAGATGAGGGTAGGCATGTGCCTAGAGCTATCTGCAGAGCCCAGTCCCCAAGGAAGCAGATTCCTCTAGGAGTAGAAATGCTCTCTTGGAAGACACCCCCACCGCCCACCCCACCCCTCCGCCTCCTGCTACACAGTGGCCTTCCGTAAGACTCCGCCTTCAAAGCAGAAACATCCCCATCACCCCTCCATAATCACCACAAATGCATACTTGCAGATCAGTAGCACCTTCAGGGAGGACTCCAGGGTTTCCCTTGAACATACAGAGAGAGAGAGTTGGTGTATATCTACCCTCCTCCCACCCTCTCTGTCCTTGACTCTGATCTAACAGAGGGCTTGAAATCCTCAATCCGATCTCCCTGGTGGCCAGTGCAAGGCACTGATGATCCGTCTGTAGGGCTGGTGACAAGAGAAATCATCTGTCCTCGGGGCAGGGTGACCTTGAATGCTATAGCAACCTCTGTCTCCCACCTGCTTCTGGGGAATGGCACAGAGCCTGGGCGGGATTAGGGTGGGGCCGAGCCCAGTTAGTCTAGGATGTCTGACAGAGGTCCCTCCACAGTACTTACAGGAGGTCCAGGAGGTCCTGGGGGGCCAGGCAGGCCTGGAAGTCCAGAGGGTCCCTATGGAGGATTCATGATTCAGAGTAGAGTCTACCCTACTGAGTGAGGCCACCAGCTTCCCCTAAAGCAGAGGACACTACAGGCCCCTTTATCCTCCCTGATTGAAGCCATGTTGGTATCCATCTGTCTGCTACCCTGAATCATAGCCCTGAGTCTGCCTGGGCTTCTGTCAGTGCCCACCAAGGCAGGGGGTTGGAGACGAGAAGGGAACAGTGAGGAGAGAACGTACAGGGAAAAGGGAGGGGACAGGGTGAAGGTGAGTAAGAGAAGGAGCGGGAGCCTCCAGCTAAGTGTGGGTATGAAGACCACATGCATCCATGCAGTGGTGGTGCAGGGTGCAGGGAGCAGTCACTCACCGGGGGACCACGCAGACCGATCCCACCTGGGAGGCCGCTCACTCCTGCCTCTCCCTGGAGGAGGTCAAAAAGAGGAAGATGGGCAACCGGTGACCCTGAATGAGGGAATCCCACCAGGACTGCCTGCCTTTTGAAAGGCCAGGATTCCATGTGGGAAGCAGCCAGGCGGTGCCCTAAGAAGACCACTCTGCCATGCTCTGGGATATCCCAGACAAAGTGGCCTTCAGTGAGGGCTGCTCTGGGAACAAACTTATGTACTTGGGAGGGACCAAGGGGTCATAAGTACTCACAGGAGGTCCAGGGAGGCCTTTGCCCTGCAAAGACAAGAATAAGGTCAGAGCACAGGTTAGCCCTGACATCCACAAGGCAATATAGGGTAGGGGTCCAGGGAGAGTGAGGCACCTGATTTAGGAGAACCACCCCACTAATTCAGAGGTCATAGCCCAGATAAAGCTCCAGGCCTCCAGGCTAGACCCAAGGCCACAGGAGAGGCTGCAAGGGACCCCAGGGATGCCCCTCTACAATGAAAACCCCATGGGGAGGAGAGGATAGTACTTACCCCAAGTCCTGGCGGCCCTGGGGGTCCCAGACTTCCCTGAATAGAAAAACAGAGGTCAGAGTATACAGAAAAGAAACTCTACCCTTTGTCTGCAAAGCCAGTTTTTTTTTTCCTTTGGAGCCTAAGTCTTAACTCTGTCAAGGTGGGGATCAGGAAGAGAAATCTCTATGGAAAACTGAGGCTGTGTGCAGTTCTGCTGTCCTGGAATCCTGGGTGAGTATGAAAAGCATGACCAAGAAAGTTACTAGTGGGTGGGCAGAACCAACAGGAGGGCAAGACACAGGCATGGGCCACACAGCTGGGGACCCCAGACTGTCTTCCAACACTAGCCTGCAAAGGTTGCTGACAACTTTTGCCTCAGTTTATATGAGGGAACTACCAGCTTGGCAGACAGGGTCTGAAATGACTGGTTTGCCAAGAAGATGGTACACGCTGGTCCTTCCACTGTAGTCAAAGTGTCCCCCAGAGAGTCTGGGACCAGCCCACTCCCGGTTAAGCCACAGCAGCTCAGCTGGCCACCAGCTACTTGCTTCTGTTCAGGCATTCCACACACCTAAGTTCCCATGCTAGCTACTTCCTGGTGTCCTACCCACCCCTCTTGCTCTCTGAGGTGCTTTGTGTTCATGACCACCTCTCCTGGGGTAAAGTAGAATTGTGAACACAGCTCTGCCCTCAGAAGCAGTGGGAAGGGAGAGCCAGTTTGCTAGTGAATGGGGGGATTCAGTGAAGGCGGTCAGACTTAGGGGGTGTGTAGTGGCTCTGCTTGTGCTGGTTCAACCAGGGCCTTATGGACCAGAGACACCGAGAGGAGGGTCACCTGGGGCTCATCCTCATTTGTGTCCCCATCACCACTCCACTTCCCCTGCCATGGTCTGAATGCCAAGATGAGTGAGCAGGTGTAGCTGAGGGATTGTTGGGGGAGGAGGGCCCAGAACCTGTCCACTCAGTATCCTCCCCTGAAATGGAGCAACGGGAAAGGGCCCAGCACGGACAGTCAGGACATCATCCACAAAGCCTCCATCCTGATGGTGTTGTAAACCATCTGGGAACCTTACCTCTGGACTGCAGCCACTGGAATGAAGACACTTACCCGTTCCCCGGGGGCGCCTTTGGGTCCTGCAGGTCCATCCTTCCCCGTCAAACCCTGGAGAGGGAGGCAGAGGTTGGCTTCAAGAAGCTACCAAATGAGAAGCACGTACCATGCCGTGGGAAGAATGAGCCACAGACACTTTAAACTATGAATCCAGAGGCATAGACCACTCTTGAGTGGTTCCCAGTACACATGGTATACCCAAAGCTCTAGTAGGGGATGGGGCCAGCACATGAAAAAATCGGCTGCCAAGCCCTGTGACGATTAAACAGGTCCAGCAGCTTAGTCCTCAGATCCTGCCTGGCGAGTCCCAGAGCCAGGGCTTTGCCTACACCACTATCCATCAAGGCATCAGGGGGCTTGGAGAAACACCCATGTGGGCAGCATGTGCAGGAAGCCTGACAATGGGCACTTGTTCTTGGATCAGTAAGAGCTGACAGGTCCTCTAACTACTGGAAGCTGCTTCTGTCCCAGCCAGGAACCAGCAGAGTCTGGGATGAAGGCCAAGGACCCCCGTTGGGAACTACTGTAACTTCTGTCAGGACAAGGTTTCCTGCCTGAATAAGCCCAGCTGCAGAATAGTAATGAAAGCCTGACCCTGGGCTGGGCTGGGCTGGGACAGGGGTGAGGTGAGGTAGGGCTGCAGTGGGAGGGTACACTCACATCCACGCCAGGCAGTCCTGGCAGTCCTGCCTCTCCTGGCTTCCCCGGCTTCCCTGAGGTTCCTTTGGGTCCCTGGGTAGGAAGAAAAAAAAAAAAACAAAGTTATGCAAGAAGTATTTGGCTCTAAGCTTTAGCCCCCATCAAGGATGACAAGCCGTCTCCATGTTGGGTATTAGCCAGCCATGGCTCCTCACCCTGCTGCTCTGCTGGTCCCCAGAAGACTGCCCCACTTCTACTGCATCTATTGGATGTTCACCAAACAGATCCAGCACCCCCAGCAAAAGACAAACAGGTCACTGTACCGGAGGAATGCCAGTGGGCTCAGGAGCTTCAACCAAGGTAAGAGGCCTCAGAGGCACAGCGGGGAGAGGCTACAGGGCTGTACTATCTCCCTTCTCTGGCTTATCTGAATTCTGGCACAAAGAGAGCTTCTAGGGAGACCCAGCAAAATCCCATATGTTCTCCTCCCATCCATGTCCAGCTCTGCCCTCAGGCCCAGAGAAGTGAGGACTGGGCATCTTTTATTTTCTGTGTCCATCGTTCCCTTGCAAGCTGGAAAAGCCTGTTTTCCAACCAGGGAGACTTACTGGAAGGCCAGGCAGACCTGGAGGTCCAGCTTCTCCCTGTGAAAATGAAAATGACCACATGTAACTCCTGAGAATAGGAAGTGCCACCCCCCCCCCCCCCCCGCAACTCCACCCAGAGCTGGGTCAGTCTCCAATCCAGGCCTGGAAGCTTGGCCCATGGAGACATTGTGGGGTCCTCAGATCCTCTCATCTACACATGGAGGGTCTCTCCTCTAAAGTCTAGCCAGGGATGGGGTGAACTACAAATTGGCTCATCCACATAGCATTTGGGGATCACTTGGGAACCCTGGGGCACAACAGCCTCCAAGAAATACTCCATAGTCCCTCTGACCAACCTAGGAGCTTTATAGAAAGTGACTGTGGCAAGATGACAACCTCTTGACTCTGTCTGTTCGGGAGAAGGCACTTCCTCCCCCATTTTCCATAAAGGCATCCCCACCAGCCTCATTCTCCACAGACACCTGTTAGGTTGGCTGAATCTTTTCAATGAGACTCTAAGACCATCATAAACAGGAGCCTTAGAACTTGGATGCTCAACTACAGCAGAGGGGTTCAAAGGGAAAGGTCCTGAGCCACCTAGGTCCAACATGGTCGCCCAGGAGGGGTGTGAGGGAGCCTGTGGCCATTACTGCTGAGGTAGGTTTTGGGACTCTTGGGAACCTGAGAAGAGGTCAGGGTACTCTTGGTGTAGCTTCCCAGAGCCCTCTGTGGAGTCCCTAGGGGAACAACATGAATGACTGGAGGCTGCCCTTCTTCGAGAAGGCCCCATGAGAACCTTTCCACTCTAGATAATGGGACAGGGTAGGGTCGAGCTGCAAGATTTCAGTTGCCTCCCCAAACTGTTTAAGCCATAACTGGAGGATACACCAAAAAGACACTATCTCTGAGGCTGAGATGGCTCCCAGCCGCCTCCAAAATTGGCTCTATTCTCAGCCCCAACAAGACCCCCGTGTCCCCAGAGTAACGTGTCTCACATTCCTAGGAGGCACATGTACCTCATGGGCCACCCTGTCAGCTGTACCCCAGGATCTGCCCCAAAGAGGAACGAGGTCCTTTCAGCCCCACTGAGGTACCCGGTGTCACCCTAGCTCCCAGACGAGGGGCTTGGATTTGTGTTCACAAGGTCAGGGGTCTCAGGGCACCTTCCCCATTCCTCTCCCAACTCACATCGATGCCATCCTTGCCAGGCTTGCCAGGAGGCCCTTGAGGACCAGGGGGGCCTCGAGGTCCCACTTTCTGAAATTGAGATAAGTTATTAGGTAGCTTTCCTTTCCAGCATGTCAGCCCTCCTGTCCCATCTTGTCCAGCCCAAATAACTCTGGGGCAGTGGCCCATGACCCTCCTCCCTGCCTGCCTTAGAAAACCCCCAAGTCTCCTGCGCTGGAGCCTAGCGCGGAGGCAGTTTATCCTCTCTTGCGCCGGGGCCGGCAGGAAGTCTCCAGGAACAAAGGCAACATTGTGTGTTCTGAGCATAGTAGCAGCGCTTGGCCTGACCCGGTTGGATGAAGACAAGTGGGAGCCAGGGTCATGGTTGATGTGGCCTGGTGTCGATGAGGCTCAGCTGCATCACCAGAACTCGCCAGCCGGAGCAAGGCGGCGGCGAGGTTGCCACAGACGTCCTCGAGGGTCCGCGGCGGCGGGACTCAGGGGTTGGCCCAGGGGGCTCGAGTTGTCCCAGGTTGCACGGTTCGACGTCTGGCCCTATCCCCGACCCCGTCAGCACCCGCGGGCCCGCGCTCACCTGCGCAGAGGTGGCCGTCAGAAGCTGCCCCAGCAGCAGCAGGGCTAGGGCAGGCGCTCCGGTCATGGCTGGCAGGCTCTCTGGGCGGCTGGCGCCGGGCAGCAGGGTGGGGAGAGGGGCTGGGGGCGGTGCGAGGCCGTGCGCCCCGCCCTGCCCCGCCCCGCCCGTACACAAGCCCCCCATTCAGCCGGGCCCACCTGGGCCGGCGGGGCGCCGTGTGGGCTGGAAAGAAAAAACCCAGCAACATTTTCTGGCCCTCCTCTGAGTTAAAATTATCCCAGGACGGCGCGTTACACACGCACCTTTCAGCACACAAGAAAGACTCTTTTCTCTTCCACCCCTCTCCAAGAGAAGGGCATCTTTTAGGAATTCTGAAGGGCACACCCAAGCTCCCAAGCTGCCCATATCCCAGGAGGACCCAGGTGGGTAAATCTCCCTTTCTGATGCCTACCATGGCATGGTAAGGTTCCCGTATAGAGACAGCCCAGCACTTCATGCTAACCACCCCAGCACTCTCTCTTACGCTTGGAACCAGGTTCTGGTGGAGGTTGGGTTGGACGGGTCCTAAATGGGCGCCCTTGGAAAGACTCTTACGCTGTATCCTGTTCCCCAGGAGGGAGCAAGATGGCCAACTTAAAAGAGGAAAGAAGCAGCATGAAGATCAGGGGTGCTGGAGATAAAGTGTTAGGACTGGCACCTGGAAGCAGGCTCTCAGTAGCAGCAATCTACCCCTTAAATTAACCCTTCTTCAGATTATTTTACTAGGTTTTGTATGTTAGTGTTTTGCCTGCATGTGTGTGTGTGCATGATGCACATGCTTGGTGCCCGCAGAGGTCACAGATAAAGATGTTTGTGAGTCTCCATGTGGATGCTGGGAATTGAACCTGGGTCCTCTGCAGGAATAACAAATGCTCTGAACTGTTCATCTAACTCTCTAGCCCCTTCTCTTAATCTTTCAAACACCTAAATCACCTATGGGGCTTACCAAAGCTGCAGGACCCCACCAGTCCTTTCTAGGAATCTGAAACATGGCTTTGGGTTTACAGGATGTGGTAGAAGCGTCATGGCTGCAGGCAGGGATCACGGATCACGTGATGGGAATTAGCAATAGAGTGAATAAGGGTATGGGTGAATGTGATTATAAGCGAATTGAGCCCAGTGGGAAGCTGTGGTTTTCACCTAAGTGGCGTAACAGGAGATGCTCACTCTACTCTCAAGCACCAGCTATCTGCTCAGCTGTGCAGCAGGAACTTGTGGAAGTACATGGAATGGAAGAGGAGCTCAGAAAGCCTTGCCCTCAGTCAGTCAGACATAACCAAACACCTCTTCAGGAAAATGTAACAAGGAAACAACTCAGACAGCACAGGCCACCCATGTGTGTGTGTGTGTGTGTGTGTGTGTGTGCGCGCGCGCGTGCCGCCCCCCCCCCCCCCCCGCATGACTCTGAGCGGCCCATCCCACTGGGACAGGTGACTCTTCAGTTCAACCTGGAAACCAGGGTGTTATGGCCCCTGTAACATACCTCCTGCCTGACCCAGGTTTCTCTGGCCACCTCAGCACCTGGCATGTGGCATATAGGGCAACTGCGGAATCAGATGAAGCACATGGCCTTTAGATTGGGTCTAGGGAGCAGTCTGACACTTGCGGCAGGCTTGGCCTTCAGCTCCCTCACAGCCCCAATGGGCAGACCTCTGGGATCAGGCCAGCCTCACATCCTAGACCTACAGGCTTCCCAGCACCTGTCTTTGAGCTGTGCAGAACTGAAGCTTTGTCTACTGTCTTGGTACACTATTCTCCCTGAAGATCAGTGGGTCAAGTGAGCTAGAATGTCCCATTCCTAGAGCCTCTCCTCACTTTCAAGTGTTGATATTCCCTAGCCAGCTCGAATCCCAGTCACCTAGTCTAAGGCACGTGGGCACTCAGGATCAGAGGGAGCACTACTGAAGTAACTAGTAGATGTCCTGTCATCGAAGAGTATCAATTTCCACGTCAGGATGGAAAACTTACCAATGAGCCAAACCACAGCTAAGGCACCAGGGGGCCCACAGCCTCCTTGAGCTAGCCTTAGGAGGGCTCTGTACACAGCATAGTACCATGGACTTGTCAAGAAAGGGCCCTGAACCCCTCGGTTCAACTCAGGGGAACGGTGATTCTCTCCCACAGAACACCCAGGACTGTGCTTGACTGCTGCCTCACTTGCACAGAGATGTGTGTGGCTCCCTCCTCTCCATGACAGATAGGCATTGGGATTCAGAAGAGGGAAAAGCCAGGGCAGAGAAAAGCCACAGTGGGATGTCAGTCTAATGGGCCACATAGGGCCTTGGAAGACAGCATCTTGAGGAAGCCTGCCAGTAGAGAAGGGCAAGACAGAAAGGACTGATCTAAACATGCAAACCCAGCACTGCCAAGAGGGCTCTGTAACAGTTCCCAAGTTCTTCAACAGGTGACAAGTAGCCACGAAGGGGCAGATGATCCAACCTTGTATTCAGGAAGGCTGTATATTGATACACACATATGTATACTTATGTATATCACACACACACACACACACACACACACACACACACACACACACACACACTTTCCCAAGACAAGAGTTTCTCTGTGGACAGCCTTGGCTGTCCTGGAACTCACTTTATAGACCAGGCTGGCCCAAACTCAGAGATCTGCCTGCCCCTGCCTCCCAAGTGCTAGGATTAAAGGAGTTGTGTCACCACACCCGGCTTCAGGAAGGCTGTTTATTTAGGATAGACCTGTTCCCAGCAAGAGCTATGCAACCCATGTCTGCCAGGCTCCATGTGGGCACTGCACCATGATGTAGCACTGGCCATGCTGCTCTGAACTGGGGCAAAGAGAGAAGTCTAGAGGCCACAGGCAACCAAACAGGACATTGGTCCACACCAAAAAACAAAGTCTAAAGAGTTTATTCAGAAAAGGCCTCACTTGGCACCAGACTAAGAAAAGAGGCCCCTCCCCCAAGACCCTTAGGGTCTGTTCACAAACATGGGGCTCAGAGGACAGTGGGGGAGGACACAGTGAGGTAAGGAGGGTTCTGAAGGCCTTGGCCTTCCCTGAGGGCAGGGCCTCAGTCCCTCTGGTGGCCACTTCAGTGACCACCAGGGAGAGGCCAGCACTGTGGGGCACCAAGAAGAGCCAACAACAGAACTCTGGGGCTCAGACACCCCCTGCAGTAGGCTGAGATGTACCTCTAAGGCTTTGGGGGTTCAGCAGAGGTCCCCATCTTTGCCAACTCCTCTGGCTCATCCACTGAGGTTCCTGTGGCATCAGAGTCAGGGTCCTCCACCAGGCTCACAGAGGCGCCATCCTCTGTCCCCACCCGGGTTTCTGGGTCCTCTGGCCCCACCTGGTCTTTTGGGCCCTTTGGCCCGTTCCCATCCTTTTGGACCTCAGGACACTCTGAAGGAGCAGGAGGCAGGGTATGGGCCTGCATCTCAGTGTTACTGGCTCCATCACCCTCAGCCCCTTCCTCCACCTTCCTCCGTTTTCTTACCTTATCAGCCACCCTGGCCTCAGGACAGGGCTGTTCAGCCTCCCTGGGTTCCTGGCTGACAGGGCTGAGGGCACACTCCTCAAGGTTGAGGGCAATTTTTTCTACCTCAGAGACACCCTGGGGATCGGGCTCCCCTGGGACCTGCTCCTGCCTATTCCCTTCCAACTTCCTCTTCTTGCTCTCTTTGGGACTTGGGGACTTAGACTCATCCCTCTGGTCCTCATCCAAGGGTTTTGTGCTCAGCAGCAAGGGATCCTCAGCTGTTTCAATGTGCCCACTCAAGTCCCTTCCAGATCCACAGGTCCGACCCTGGGTGCCGGCCTCTTGGAAGGGGTCCCCGGAGCCCTCACCCTTATCTGTCTCTGTCTGCCCTAGTCCCATCAGTGGCTGGGGTATAGCTTGGGGCCTGAATCGCCGAAGCTTGTCACGGGGGCCCCAGACAAACTCGCGTCGAGGCGTGAAGTGCTCCCATGCGAAGTACACGAGCTCCCGGCGCTGGTGTCGGCAGCGCACAGCGAAGAGGAAGTAGTCGAGGGCACTCTGGCGCACACTGGGCAATTTGTGCTGTACTAGCGTCTCCTCCAGGAAGAAGCGGACCAGGGGTGCCTGGTAGTGTTCTAAGCCCAGCTCACCCAGCGACTTGAGGATGCGTGTAATTCGCAGGTTGTTGTGGCTGTGGCTGTGAAGGTAGGAGACAGGAGACTGGATGACCCTGGCCCTGGGGATGCACATCTGGCCCTGCATTCCCAGCTGGCTCCGTCTCACATTTCCAGGGTCTTCTCAGAGCCCCACCTGGGAAAAAGGACTGTGTACCCTCAACCTGTGGACAGGATGTGTAAGTCCTGGGAGATGCTCCAGTCCATCAACTCCTGTCTGGGAAACACTGCCGAAAGCTAGAAGGGGCTGAAGGGGCTGACATCCTGGCAGACCCAGAGTGACTGTGCTATCTGCAGACTACCTCGTGTTTGCTTTCTGGGTAGATGGGGGTAATTAAAAACTCCCAATCCAAGGAACTGTTTCCTTTATAACTCAGAGCTCTTCCATGGGGCAGCACCTACAGCCTGTGGATGAAGCGGCTTCAGAGCCTGTGGTAAACCTCTCTGCTTGAAACCCAGCCCCAGATACTAAAGGGGAGCAGCAGGGATGGGAGGATGACAGCAGGGCCCTGTCCTAACCTGTTCAAGTTGTGAAAGCGCGGCTGGAAGTTCTGTGCACGGCATACAGCACCTGTGTCCCGGTCCTCAAGTTGGATGCCATAGAAGCCCAGCATGAGCTCATAGGCTCGGATGAGACGATCTCTGACTTCCTTGGAGCTTTTAAATGCCTAGAAGACAATCCCCTGGGGGCTCAGGTGGCCCTCCCTGATCAATGCGCCCAAGGAGCATTGGGTGGACCACTGAATACCAGGTAAGCCAATGCGTCCTTTAGGCCCCTGTAGCCTTTGAGACTGAGAGGACACCAATACACCCCCAGCTTTCTTCTCTGTGAGGCCTACGAAAGTGGCCACCTCTGTAAACTTGAGCCACCTGCCACAAGGCAGCCTTTGCTATCCATGTCCAGGGACCTTCCCTCCCATCCCTAATCTCTACTACTCAGTCTCTTAGGACTGGCCTCTTTCTCTGATATCCCTAACAGGTGGACCATGAGACAGCACAGATAGTCAGTGGCTATTCTGCAGACACATAGCTCTCCTAACTTCCCCAGTCTTGCCTAGAAGGGGAACTTACCTCAACTTCCTTCAGTGTGAGGGGCTTGGCGTGCCAGTTCACTCCTGGTTCCCTCAAAGGAAACAGCCTAAGGAGATGGGAGGCATTTTAGGGTCAATGCCTCCCTCTCATCCCTGGGAGGGACCAGCTGACCTCTTTCTTACCCAAGGAGCTGGGTATGGACGGCAGTCAGCTGAGAGCAGGTAAGAAGGCTGCTTAAAGCCTCAGCCTATGTGTTCAATGGGCTGTGGGGCGGAGAATCAAAATGGGCAAAACCAGTGTGCCTGTTACCACAATGCACTCCATGCCAAGAGGCTACTGGGAGCAGCCCCGTGAGCTGTCCTCAAGAAAGGGATGTTATTATTTGCCAGGATATGGTCTCATTTCTGATGCTGCTGTGTGGCAACTCACTCAAGATCTGCTAAAACCAAGTCAGATGTAGTCCAGATCCAGCTGACCCTCGAGACAAACAGGCCATTGCATGGACTCGCACACAACAGCCCCATTAGGGCCCAACAAGAGGGACACTAACTAGAGGTAGGCAGGCAATACTTGTCATATATAAGCTTATGGAAAGGAAGAAGTATTTCAACACACCTGAGTGAACACGCATGAGAGCACCCACCTTCATTCCCGTTTCCTTAAGACCTGCCTACTCAGTCCCACTCACCACTGAATGTAGGAGTGATTCTCTTCAAGGAGGTCATAGTTGTCTTTCCAGTTCTGAAGAATGTCCTCAATGAGGAAACCTGGAAGCCCATGGGGAGAACTCAGCTACAGAGACTACCTTGACAAAGCTCAGGGGACAGAGCTATGTCAAAGTCACTACCTACCCTCAATTTCTTTTAGGTTCTCAGGACTCAGCAGAGCTATCCATAGCTCATTTGATATAAAATGTATAGTTTTAGGTAATCAGGCCTACTGCTATAGGTGAAGGTTGCAATACTTTTCCTCTGGGGCATATATACCTTGTCAGCCAGGAGCCTCTGTACTCAAAAGAAATCCCCATAGAAACCAAGCCTGGAACGTGGTCTAGGGAAGGTGCCTTTGAAGGGCCAGGCAGCAAACATCTTGGCTATGTAGACATATGGCTTTTTCCATGCTATAGTAAAAAAAGTAACTCCATAATGGGTGGGTGCGAGCTGACACCAATAAAACTTTACTTACACTGCTTAGTTTCAAATGGTTATGTCATAAACAAGATGTGGTGGCTCAGGCCTACAATTTCAGCATTTGGGAGACTGAGATGGGAAGATCTTGAGTTTGAGGCCAGCCTGAGATACACAGAAAGACCATTTAAAACCTCAAAAGCTTATTTTCTGGCCCTTCAACCAAGCTCCAATTCCCATGGCAGCCTCAAGGGGGTACTGCAGGGCCACCTGAAAGCCATAATTGGGTGGAGAACAACAACTCGCCAAAGGCAGAAGTGCTGGGGTGGAGTGGGCAGGTACCGTTTGGCTGGAAGCAGATCTCATTTTTGTAGAAACTCAGATTGGACATGTCACCATTGCAGTCTTGATCTGCCAAATCCTGAAGAGCCAGAGAAAGGATGGTTGAGGACTCATGAGAAACAAGCTATCTCTGAGGACCCCTCAGATTCATGCAATCAGGGATGGGGACAGCTGTTCGAGACCCCAAAGCTCAGTCTGGGATCCTCTCTGTGAGCATGGGTAGGTTTGGAGGGCAGCACTACCCACCAATAGAGGCCATAGATGGCAACTCCTCTTCTGCACCTCAAAAATACCACAGAGATTGCCAGTAACTAACTTGATTCCATGTACCAGCCGGAGGGCCATGTGTGAAGACTGAGTCACACGTGCTTTCAGGAGGCGGAAGCTACTCCCTCATTTTAAAGCTCAGCTCTAAGGCTTGGGCAGCACAACATGCTCTATAACCCTATAACCAGGGACAGGGCATGGATCTGAATGACAATGGGTTTGCCTTCCGGACAATGAAGAACCTACCACAGAACCCAAAGCCAGATTTTCAGCCGGCCAGGGGACTCTCTTGTTTGGGAAGAGGGCTGTGTCTCAAGGCAGGGGTTGTATGTACCTACCGGGTAGTGGTGCCGGTACCTTCGCATGTCCTGCATGGCTCGCCAATTTCGGTACCCTGTCATCCTGGACTGGGGAGAGAATAAAAGGGATACGGTACCTGGAAAGTGTCCAGGATGAAGGTAGAAGAGTTTCAGCCAACCACCAGAGCTCTATGCAAGCGGAATGAGCGTTTCTGTTTTTACTTCTTCTGGTCCCCACCTATCTTGTGTCAGGGTTTCTGAGAAGACCAATCTGGACCCCAGAGAAACACTCCTCCATGTGAACACAGAGAGCAATCCACAGTAGCCTCTGCTACCATCCCTGCCCTCTCAGGACTTGCTTTTCCTCCTCAGAGTGCCTTGACCCAGGCTAGCCTGCACTCTGCCAGGGTGTATGGCTGATGCTCTTCTGTCCCCAAGCTCCAGGTGCATCTCCTCACTGGTCTGCTTGTCAACTTCATGTTGGTCTAAGCCCTTTATGTACCTCCCTCAGCCCCCAAGAACTATAGTATTTCTCTTCACACTATGCTGTGAATGGTTACTGGGTTGTATTCCAGAGGGCCGCTACTTTGCCAGCCACAGCCTTAAGAGAAAACCCAGCTGCCTCTGGATAGATGGATGAGGCCCCTTCTTCCTAAACCCCTTCTCCTCCCTGGCCCAAGACAAAGTCGCTCTACCTCCAAGCCTGAGACTGATTTTTAAGTGGCGTCAGGTGTGATCCAAGAGCTCTTGTGGGGTAAACAGCAATTCTCATCAGAGCTTTTGGGAGGCATTACCACCCACAGGAGTAGCCTGAGCCTGCACACTCAGCTTCATCCCAACGTGGTCAAGCAAAGGCCAGCTCTGGCCTGCCTGAAAGACCAGTCTGAGAGCCTCTCCAGATTCTGGACCACTTTCCCATAAAGAGCAGACAAGCCAGACAAATAGAGATCGTTGCAATGGGGAGAATGGACTTAGGAGTCGTAGTCCTCACTCTCATTTTTTTAGGCTCTCCACCGCACCTGAAACCACAGCTAAAACCAACACAGCGCATCTTTCAGAATGCCATTGCGACTAATATGCTGCTTGCTAAAACAGTATATATATATCTGGAACAAGCTCTTGGTGGCAACAAAAGTTACCAGAGCTAGTGGAAACCCCTTTGCACTTCCAAGGTGGTGGATGCTGTCTGCCTTTGGGGGCCGAAGGAAGGGCAACCGAGGAAAGGCCACCGGCCACAGACAGACACAGGATGAGGCCCGGGGGCGCGTTCTGACGTCACCCACGCACGACCCTCCTCAGTCGCTTCCCTGACGTCACCGGCGCTCGGTTCGCTATGCCTGGGCCCGGCACCCTGCTAGGGGACAGCGGCCTGGGCCCAGCGATCACAGCCTGGCGTCGCCCTCCCGCCCTCCCGCGCCGCACCTGGAACGGGCCTGGCCGTGTCTCCTCCGCGTCGCCATCATCGTCGCCCGTGTCCTCATCGCTTGTATCATCTGCCTGGCCATCCTCGCCATCCTCCTCGCTCTCGTCCTCCCAGGTGGAATCGCAGTCCGGGTCGTCCATAGTCGACAGGCCCGATCCGCTTTCCGCGGAAAGGAAAGTGAAAAAGGAGGAAACGCGGGGGCGGGGCGGCGCCAGGTCCCGCCCAACGCTCAGTTTCCGCTGTTGCGCGGGGTCCCCAGCATGGCAGCTACCTTGGAGCTAGGCGGCAAGCCGTGCCCAGAAGGAGGCAGTACCCCCAGAAGGACAACCCCCAGGAGGCTGTGCACCGGGGATTCATGCCCCCATCTCCTCCCGGAAGACGTACCTCTTCAGACTCAGCCCTAGGTCCTCCCCAAAGGGATTTCACTCCCCCGGAGACTGTCCCTTCCCTGTCGAAAGAGTAAGGAGGCTTCTCAGCACCAGTTGAAGTGCCTCTTCCTGACAGCTGTGAACCGTGCCTGGTGCTGATTCTTAATCTTTGTTGACTTGTCTAACTGGAGTCAGTCATTCCTCTGTATCCATACCAGCTCATTTCGTATCTCTGTGTGGATGTTTTTGGATGCCCACGGACACCAGAGGTCGATGGTCCGCCCCGTTATTTGGAGGCAGGGGCGTTCCTTCACCTGGAGTTCACGGATTACGTGGGGCTGGCTATCCAAAAAATCCCAGGACTCCTCCTCTCCGTGCCTCCCTGCACTGGGTTACTTTTAACACACCACCAAGCCCAGCTTATAGGTGGTGATCAAACTCAGGTTCTCACGCTGGCGGGGGCGAGGCTTTTTTTTTTTTTTTAAAATAACCAAGAGCTATTTCCATGGCCCCTCTGCTTTCTGAAAGAACAATAGGGAACTCCTGAGGCCTTGGGAGTTCTGGACACCTACTACTGTCCACTGTCCATTTCCTGGGCTCATGGATATTGGGTGTACTCTACTGCTGACTGTGCCATGGAACCTTGTTGTGCAGCACAGTTTGAAGCAAGATAGAATGGGAAAGCTAAGGGGACATAGGTGGGCAGCAGGGGAAAGGACCGTCATTTCCAGTACGACTTAAGTTTCTCACCAGTTGAGAATTAGGAATTTTAGGACATTGACTTTTAAAATTTTGCTTGAAGACTGCCTACATAGAGAAAATATTCCATTTATATAGCTATATTCCAAATAACGTTAAAATAGTAATGACTTACTAGTAAGTTCTCTAGCAACAACTTGGGTTGGAACTTCAGAAACCACCAAAAGCAGAGTGATGGGCTACTGTCGGGATTTATGTGCCACTTTCTCTTGCAAAGCCCAAAGCCACATTTGGGTGTGTTCTGCTTTTCCTAAACACCTCTATCAACTCATAAGTTTAAATCTATGCCTTGCCAGGTGTGGTGGTGCACACCTTTAATCCCAGCACTTTGGAGGCAGAGGCAGGTGGATCTCTGGGTTTAAGGCCAGCCCAATATGCAGAACAAATTCCAGAACAGCCAAGGCTACACAGGGAAACTGTCTCGAAAACAAAAAATAATCATACAAATAAATCTATGCCTAAAATATCTTTCCAAACTCTTAACTCTCACACTGAGTCATCCCATGAAGTCAAGAATACTGGCTTCACTTGAGCGCTATCTGAAAGGAACCTATGGGCCAGCAGGATGGCTCAGGGGTTAAAGGCACCTGCCATCAAATCTGATAGCCTGAACTCAGTCCCTGGGATTCATATGGTAGAAGGCGAGAACTGACTTCCGAGTTTGCATCCATACAAATACATGCGCACAGCAAATAGGAGGTAGCATTGCTTGCGGTTGAGCCTTGCAGGTGTCTGGCTGGGACGAGCTCAGGTTAAAATGGTGTTAACGCTTCCCTTCAGGTGCAAGTTACAGCCATGTTATTTGGCCCAAGTTTGCCCCGACTCCCCACCCCCACCCCAAACACACTTTGTAGGCTGCTGCTGCTATTCACTATTCTCTATTATTTTCTGAGCAGAACCCACTCCCAATTCCCTTGACTATCCCGCGCCAGATAGGTAGAGGTAAGACCACACCTACAGGTCAAACTGCCAGGAGCTGTGACATCTCTTAAGGGACATAGGATGCTCCTGTGAACTACAAGGTCTGAAAGAATTCAGGAAGGCAGCAGGTTTGAGTTCACCCACACAAGGCCCTTGTGAGGCACTGTGACCAGAATGAGACACAGGGCTATTGGATGAAGCTAGCTGCTAGAAATAAGAATAGATCCAAGACAGATGCCTTGACCAGGCACCTGCATGCTCTCATGCCCCTCCGTTGTCATTTCAGATGGGTTTAGCAGAGTGACCCTGGAGAGGACCACCTTCCTGATCCCATACTGCTCACTCCTCAGCATCACTATCTGCTTCCCTTTTCTCCTGAACAGCCTCTAGTAGTGGACACTGGGCAAGGACAGGTTGGAGTGACCCCAAGCCGTTTCCCAAAACATGCTGTGACATCTTTTCCTATCTCTTTTATTGGAACACAAGGCACTGCTCCAGGTTTGAACAGTCCATAGCACTGGGACTTCATCTCAAGTGGTGCAGGCCTCTGCCTTTTGCCCAGTTTGAGGAGGAAGGAAACCTATTATGACCTTGTCCAAGATCTCCAGAAAGGGAGCCAGAGACCTCCCACAGCTGGTCTTTCCAGGGAAATGGCAGGCCAGACTAGGTGAGCTCAGCTGTGGCAACTCAGAATGCTTTCTGTGCCAGGAAGCTGGGTCTGGTATGGGCCAGCTCTCACTGCCTGAGACCTTGTAGACGGCAGGTGTGGGAGTTTGGTTACATGCAGCAGTCAAGTACACAGTGTGCTCATCCCACCCAGCAGCTGACATGGCTGTGGAAGGACAACAGGCAACAGTCTCAGGTAGGAGTGGGGGCTGGGTATTAGGGGTGGGTGTCCTTTGAGTCTGTGCAAAGGCTCATAACCTTCCTGCCTCCAATGATGCCAGAAGTCCTCTAAGCACACTTTATAGTTATGAATCCTGGGGTGAGGGCCCATTCCTCTGTAGAAGAAAAACAAGAAACAACAAAACCAAACTATTTTAGTAGCAAATCACACGACTCCCAAGGTGACCTGTTTTTAATGGTTCATGTTCTACAGATGAAAGTGTACTTCAACCATCGGACCATTGGCTTTTCAGCCTGGTGGCTGCTTCTTTATTCCACACCCTTATTTGGTCTTTCCCAAGTTACTAAATTACAAAAATAACCGCTAAAAATTCTTTTTATCTGGCATATAAAAACAAAGCCAGAGGTATCTCAATAGTTACCTGAAAACAAAACATCTCAGAAAAAAACACATCACAGGTTTAACTTCTGCAGTATTTTTCTTCATACAAAACACTAGTAAAATAGGCTTCTGAAAAATTAAATAATGAAATAGCAACCAAATTATATACATTGTTACAGTACAAGTGAATGAGGCAAAATATCCAGTTCTGTTTCCCAGATGAAGGAGGCCTTCTGTGCACAGCCTGTGCTGTGTGAACTCCAAAGACGCCTTCACCAGCACACACTGTGCGAGTGCACAACGGAGCCTTACAAGACAGCAGATGCAAAAAGTGGGTATCCAGAGAAGATGAGTGGCTCCTTCTGAGGACAGTGAGGGCGGCATCTTATTGCTTGGTGACTCTTGGTCCTCTGGGCCTATGCACCTGCTCCTCTCCACACACTGTGGGCACAGGGGAAACCAACCAGGAGAAAGCAAGAGGCTGGCTCAGAGGCTTCATCATCCAGCTGAGCGGATGCTGGTCCTTTGGACCAATCAGGTGATCTGGTAGTCTGATGACACAGGAGAAGCCCCACTAGCATCTCTTCTGGATGGTCACATTCACCCAGGGACCTGAGAATAGGCAGTGGGGGCCTGCAGCATTGGAGCATCTCTGTGGCCACCTGGGTGTCTATGTTCGGCGCCTCTTGGCAGCACTGGGGCTGGAGGGATTGCTGTTAGCAGTCAGGACCTTGTCAGTGACCCGGCTGCGCTTCCGCTTGTCTGCCCCTTCTTTGCACCCCAAGTCTGAGGAGTTCTTCTCTTTGTCTTTGCTGGATTTTTCTAATGCTTTCCCCAAGCTCCCTGAAGATGAAAAAACTGAGAAAAAAAATTATTTGGCTGAAAACAGAATATACAGACTCATTTCACTCTCCTGTTCAGCTACAGAAATCAGATGTACCTCAGGCTCTTTGTACCCAATATGTTCCCCTGGGTAAGAACCCTATAAGGCTAGGCTTGAGGAGAAACCTAGTACTCCTGTGGGGTCTCCGGTCTGAGCCCACCTCATGCTCTCAGCCTTGGCCTTGGTCTCAGGTAAAGGTACAGCTGAGTGTTGGGCCCCTGCGTGGGTCTTCAGGGGCCCTCCTGCCTAAGGTGATCTGCACTGAGTTAATCTCTCAGACTCTGTGGCTTCAGAAGTGAGGAGATGGGGGCTATGCTTCAAACGGCACCTCAATCTTACCATCATCAGCCCCACTGTGGGGGTCCACATCCTCCTTCATCTCCTCCTTCATTTCCTCTTCAATGACCACTTTTCCTGTGGAGGAGACAGCTGCCGTTCACTGGAAACCCACGGTGGTGGCCAGCGCTGGGGGACGGTCTGGCCATGACTGCTTCCGATTCTCGCTGCCCACACAGGCCTCGGCGTCCATCGCGAGATGGCATCCATCAGGAGACTGCCTTTGAGCACCGCTCTCCCCAGCCCTTGGCTCCCAAAACCTCCCAGGTGCCACTGGAGGTATGGGCTGAGCAGGGTGCTTATACCTCCCTGGAGGCCCCAGACCTCCCCACCTTTGGCCTGGTGCGGCTTTTTTTACTCCCAGCCCTGATGGTGGCCGAGTCTCACCTTCTCGGACCTCCTGAATGATCTCATCTGGAAGGACAAAGTTCCTCTCTGGATTTGGGAATGGAAGAATCTCAGACTCGTGCTGTCGGTACAAAGCATTTTGTATTTTCAAGAAACAGAAACAGGATGTCAGCTCACTAAGATGTACAGGAGGAGCAGGCTGGAGGCTGCGAGCTGGTGGGCTCCTCCCTCCATGTGCAGAGTCCACCTTAGCTGGGCTTTTCAGATGACTAGGGAGGATCAGGCTAGCACCAGCCCGACGAAACCAGAGGAAAGGACCAGGTTCATGCCACGGAGAGGGCCCTGAAGACACGGCTCATGTGCACACCAGGACCTGACCTGGCTTGCCACTGTAGCATTCCCACCAGGACAATGTTCTCCAGACACCATGACTGACCACAGGCACCCATAGCTCCACCCATCCTGGTTACCTAGTTACACTGCCTGCCAGACAGTGTAACTATAGACAAACCTGACCAGCCTGGTTACTAGTTACCCTGAATACCTGTCAGACACTGCCAGCTCTTCAGACCAGCTACCTAGTTACCCATCAGTCACAGCTATCTCTCAGCTCTATGAAGAGAACTATGTCTGGCTCCCACAGACGTATACAAAATTCACCTCAGTGGGACTCGGTTAAGGTCAGCCTCCACCTAGAGCCCTCTGAACCGGCCCAATACTGACACTGAACTCTCGTACTACTTTTCACTGTGGCCGATTCTTCTCCCTCATCTCGGCACCCGATTATCTCCCTGGAGACTTTTTGTGATCACCTCATCTAAAGTAGATTCCTTGAAAAAGCGGTTAGTGACCATTACTAGTTTGTGCTTTTCACAGCACGACTGGAGCTTTCCTGAGGAAGAGGCCTCATCTATTGACATCACTCTGCTCGCTCCACATAGCAAACCCCAAGTGAGCGGTGGGCTCTGTCCTGTACTACGGTTGGTTCGAGGAAGACAGGTTTTGGGACTTGTCCCCACCTTCAGGCCCAACAGTGTGGGCCAGGGTCCAAACTCACCAGCGCCTGCATATCATACATGGTGCTCAGATGGTCCCAGATGACCTTGGATGGAACCTGGCGCCCAATATTCTGGCTGAACTTGTCTCGAATGCAAATCATGTGGAAGTGTCGATTCACCCCTGAGAGACAGGACAGTGGATGAGGGTGAGGGCAGCACCTTTGTGCAGAGGACATGGGTTTGTAGGAGGGGCAGGAGCGTGCAAACGGCAGGTTGCAGGAATCAGGTATAAAAGGGGAGAGAGGTGGGTGTTCCAATGGCTACAGTGTACAGGAAGCGGGTCCGGAGCAAGGGGGCTGCAGACTCGGGGAGAATGAAAGCGTTCCCCGGGGTAGGAGTGTCTCAAGGGCAGGGAATTCAGGGGTGTCCCCAGGGAGGGGGCTTCTCCGGCAGGAAAGTCATGAGGTCTTATACAAACAGGGCATCCCAGAGTGGGAGGTCCCGTCCCGTGCGGAGTCGCAGGCTCAGCTAGCCCGCCAGGCGGTTTAGTCCGCCCCACCCCCACGCGGGTGCGCAGCGCTCACCGACAGGCTTGTGGCCCAGCATGGCGTGGAACAGGCACACCTCCACCTCAGGGCTCCACACCACCGTCTCCTCAGCAGGGCTCGGGGCTGCCTCACCTGGGCCCTTGTCGCCTGGGGCGCCCGTGCCGCCCACCTCGGCCTCCCCCATGGCCGCCGGCAAGCAACGAGCGCCCGGCGCGAGAAGGGCTACTACGGGTTCCGCGCAGGCGCACTCGCGGTGTACGGCGCGCACTCGTTGGGCTCGAGAGAGCCGTGTGCCCGTGTCCGCGCAGGCGCAACAAAAGGCTGGCTTTCGTTGCCAGCAGCGCCCCCTGGTGGTTGATACTTTTCCTGCCTACAGCTCTGTCCAGATAGTAAATTGGCAAAAACCTTAATCTTTAAAAATGCAAAAACGGGGCGTGGAAGCACACTCCTTCAATCCTGGCACTAGAGGCAGAGGCAAGCAGATCTCTGTGAGTTCCAAGCCAGCCAAGTCTGCATAGCATGACACACACGCCCCAAAGTTAAATACGTTAAAGATTTTAACCTGAGTAGATAACTTGGAAAAGAACTCTGGATGCATAGCCAGAAGTAATAGGCGCCAAAAGCCACAGGCTGTGTCTCACCCTGCCGGTGATAAATTGTACAGTACCTAAATTACATCTCACTAAAACTATTTTTTTTAAAAAAACAAGACAGGGGCTAGTGAGATGGCCCATCCAATAGAGATGAAAAGGTTAGACTAACTTTGTAACCTGTATGTCTTCTAGAGCCTATAGTTTTGAGTTTTAGGTCAAGGTTAAGCTAAAGCCTCTTAGTACCTTTCCAGAGAACGGAGAAATGTGACCCTATCTGTGAGGACAGATATAAAAAAAGCGAGCAAGCAATGACCTTCATTCAGCAAAAAGAACGACCAGACCCTTGTTTTCGAGATAATGTTCCTTAGTAACCAACCCAGATGGCCTCAATCCTTCTTCTGAGTAGCTCCTGACCTCCAGCCAAAAGCCTGCAGCCCTGATCTTCAAGGATGAGTTAACCACCCCCACCTTCAATTGCAGCTGCATCCACACTTAGCAGGACTGGCCAAGCTTGAGCACCGAAGACTAACCAATTATCTTACTTCCTCATCCAATCTTAAGTTGCCAAGACTGCAACTTCAAATTTCCCGTACTTTTTCTTTTAAAAACCTAAGGCCTTTGTCTCCCGGTGCCACTCTTTGCTGACCAGCAGGGGTGACCCCATTGCGCAATGGTTAAAATAAACCTCTTGCTTTTGCATTGAATTGTGGTCTGTGGGAGTTTCTGGGAAGGCACGATCTTGAACTCCTGAGCTGTGAGACCCCAGGTCTTACAGAGACACTTGTGCACAGGCCTGATAACTGGAGCTCCACCCCTGGATCCTAGAGGGGGCAGGAGAGAACAAATTCTTTTTTAAATTATCACTTTACAGCCTGATCCTAGCCCCTTCCCTTCTCTCTTCCCAGTTCCCCCCTCGCATCCCTCTCCTCCCATTCTCCCCTCTCCTTATTCTCAGAGAAGGGGAGGCCCCCAAGGGGTATAACCCACCTTGGCACCTCAAGTATAGCAGAACTAAGAGCATCCTCTCCCACAGGGGGCCTAACAAGGCAGCCCAGCCAGGGGAAAGGGATCCAGTGCAGGCAATAGAGTTGGGCACAGCCCTTACTCTTATTGTTAGGAGACCTACGTGTTGACCAGGCTGCACATTTGCTACATATATGTAGGGGGTCTAGGCCCAGGCCATGTATGCTCTTTGGTTGGTGGTGTGAAAACCAATTCTTGAGAGTTGTACTCTAACATATATATTTCATGGTATATGCACACACACACACACACACACACACACACATTAAATAATTAAAAATTGAAAGCCTCACAATCAAATTTTATGGGAGTGAGGTTCTGCTTATCTTTGAGTAGCCCTCACCTGGGTGCTCATGACAGTCCCAGAAGCAGTGGAAGACAGAAATCTGGGTCCTGCTGGCCTTGCCATCTACCTCTACCTCCATCTTGAACCCACAAGAAGTGGGTTGCTGATTAATTCAGGCTGTCAGAATTTCAGGCAGGTGTTGGTTGCTGGTCTGGCCATAGCTCTACATGGGACTGGGTGGGGCCAGCTGCTGGGTACAGCAGCCTTAAGAACTCGGTCCATGCTGGGTCTGGGTCACTCCAGTCAGCTGTGTCATGGACCCTAACCTGCCACCCATGCAGACTTCTCTACCCACCCATCCCTCATCCATGTCCTCCACAGTCAGGCTTCAGCATCCCTTTCCTGACTGCTGCCTCTCAGCTGTGTGGCTGAGATGTTGCAAGCCTTTGTAAGACTGTGCCCTCCCTTGTGCCCATGGGGCCACTGTAACCCTGTACTCTTGGGCGTTGATAAGAATCGTCTGTTGGCTGCCACTGGCCTTGGAATCCAGACTTGGCCCTGCACTTGCTACTCATTCAGGCTGTAGCCAGACAGTGCTCACAGCAGTGAGCAAGGAACCATGGAGGGTGCAGGCTCCAGCTAGCCTCATTGTCTGCGACAGCTCAGGGCTCAGAGCCAGTTAGCAGTATGTGGCCAGGCCTCAGCTTCCCCACGGTGGAGGTGTAGCTGGTGAGAAGAGTGCTCACAATGCGATGGAGAAGGTGTGGCCCAGTAAACCTTCGTAAGGATCCTGGGGTCCCTACTATCATGTGGAGTTCTGACACAGCTGGGAGTTACGACCCCACAGGGGCCTGTGCCCTTGCCTCTGCCTGGCTGGCACGCAGAACTTGGCTTCGTTACTGCAAGGCTGGGGTAAAGCATATTCTGCCATCTGGTACCTGCCATAAAGCTGGTTTCCAGCCTAAGACCTGCCACACATAAAGTGCCCAGGAGCTGGTGTTCAGAATAATATCCTGATTATTCTCTGGATACTTGGGGTACAGGAATCTCTGCTGCTGACTGCTTTTGGCTCTGGTTCACTGTCGTCTCACCCTTATTAGGTAGGAAACTCCTTCAGTTCGGAGCACTTCCTTCCATGCAGAGCTTCCCTCGTGTAACCCTCAACCTCGTCTATCCTAGCTGGTCCTCTGTGTTCTGTGTGGCCTGCACCACTGTGCTCAAACCACATCCCACCAGCCGAGACATTTGCAAACACCTGACCGTCATTTCAGATGTATCCTGGAATGTGTGACTGGCAATCAGGTTTGATGGTTTAGGAGAGAAGAATGCCTTCATTCTTGCGTTCCAGGAAGCCACAGCCTGTCTCTGCAGAACAGAGGCTGAGCACTGAGGTCAGAAGCTAAAACTTTGCCTGCTTTCCCATGACCCAGCTGACTTCTCGTTTTCATGAACAGAAGAGACAGCTGGAGCCAGACATATGCAGGCTCCGTAGTCCAATCCCATGAATTTAACAGGAAGCTATGCTTGTTAATTTTGTAGCTCTCTTGTGACTGCTGTCTAACAAGGAGCTTAGAGAAGCCAATAGTCCTTGATCATGTGTGTGATCCTGCAGTCTGGGTGCCTGGGTGTTCAATGAGTTGTCCCAATAAATAGCTTCAAAGTGGGTGTACACCTGTTGGGAGCTGAGAGCCTCCTTCAAGTCTGCTAGAAGGGCTCCTTTGGCCTGGAGCAGTTATCTGTGGGGCAAGCGACCAGCTTTTAGAAATCACTGGTGAAGTTTGCTCATGTTTGGCTTCTCTGTGAGGTCTTCAGGTGGTTCCAGGTGGCCAAGACTATATCTGGCTTAGTAGCATGGCTCCCAGATGGGGTGAACATACAAAGTAAACAAAGATATCTGATGATGGGTCCAGTAGCCAACTGGTCAGGTCTTTCCTCATTTGTTGGGACCCTGCTGTTCAAATCTCTTTTACAAGATGGATACGAGTGCTGGAATTCTTGATCCGAGGGTGGAGGGTTCAGACTTGGCTCAGGGGAGAAATTAAGGCCTCAGAAAGGTGCTTCCTTGTTTAATAAGTATGAAAGTCTTATAGTTTATACACCAGTCTTGTATATGTTTGGCCAGTGTAAGCTATTTCCCAGACCACCTCTAGGTCTCAACCAAATGACATTTCTTTCTGTTCCTTTATTTATCTATTCAAGGTCTCATGTCTCCTAGGTTGGTCTCAAACTCGTTATGTGGCCAAAGATTGCCTTGAACTTCAGTCCTCATCCCTCTACCTCCTAAGTGCTAAGATAACAGCTATGTGCTAGTATATACGCTGGGGACTGAACCCAGAGCTTCGTGCATATCAGGGAAATACTCTACCAACTGAAGTGCATCTCCAGCCTCCTGAATGGCATTTCCTGTCTGGGGATCTGATGTCACCTCAGAAGGGAGGCTGCTAAACAGAGGGACCATATCCCTACCAGAAACATTTAGCTCTCGGTCACAAGAACTGGGTCCAGTGGGAAGACTACTTGTTAAGGCTCTGGTCAGATGCTGTCCACCTGCCTTTGGTCACACTGTCTCCTTGTAGACGGCATCTCTGCAGTAGTGAAATTTTAACAGCATGACCAGCCCCACTTTGCTCTCTTAACACATGCTGGGAACCCAGGACTCTGGAGGACAAATTCTGCTTTGGAGTCAACCTGCTGTGGATCCTGTTCACCTGTGTTCACCCGATGGCAACAGGCCACCCTCTGGACCTCACGTGAACACTTGAACACTGAGAACAGCTATATTGTCCTCTCCTGCGGGATGTGGAGCACTGGAATCAGGGAGGCTAGAACTAAGCAGCCATCAGATAGGGCCCATAGATTGGGTTTCCAGTTCAGTCCCAGTCTTTCCCTATTGGGCTTGCAGCTAGGTAGGAGACATATGGCCTGATGAACACAGCTTAGCTCCAGCTCCTCTGTCTTCCTGTTTGTGGTGAAAGCTGATGTGATTAAGGACCTATGTGTTTATTTCCGTTCACCTCAAAGCTTCTTTGTAGTCTTCCAAAGTAATGGCCTTCAGGTGAGGATGTGCTGCAGCCAGGGTGCTAAGTCTTGCCTGTAGGGGGCACTGCCCACCAACTCTTTGGATGCAAATCTCCTCGCTCTGAAATCTGCTGGCAAGACCCAAGGGAAGATGCAACCCTGAGCCACTCCGGCTTTTTAATAGGACCCACCTCTTCAGAAGGGGACTATGATACCCAGAAGGCAAATGTTTCTTTCTGGGCTTTAGCTGAGCATGCTTGCTTTAGATTCCAGGGGGTATACATGGGAAAAACTACCCCATGGCAATGTTTGTTCTGAAGGTCATGT